CTACCCAGGCACCCCAAAGATGACATATTTTTAATACTTTAAGTCCTTACCTAAAACATTCACTTTACAGTCTATATTTAACTGTCTTTTTTGAGATGACTCCTTTCTAGACTTGAGCTGCCTAAAGCCCCTCTCTTAACTGCTCCTTGGCAGCTTCCCTTTACTCCGTGCTAATCAGTCCCTGAACACTAAAATTTCCCACTTTTTGCAGATTGTTCTCCAGTTCCCATCTTTCTGTTATTTACCACATCAACTATCCTAAAATTTTATTACCCTTTCCCAGATCTGACCTCCTCCTTTCTCCCTCAGAGATCACGTAGACTTTCAGATGTGAGCTCTCACATTTCCTTGTGCTTCCACCTGTAGCCTAGCCACACGTGAACCCACCTGACCCTCCCTGCACATGAAGGGCTGCACGAGGTCAGTCCCTCCGCATGCGCATCCACTCAGTGGATTTCTCTCCACCAGTCACCCTCTCTCTTTTGGATCTTCCTTCTCTATAACACAGCAAAATGTACCCCAAAAATATATGGACCAAAAACTATGTACCGCCCTCTATCATTTCTTCTCTTCCCTTCCCATTGCAGTTAAACTTCTTGACAACTTTCTCCCAACCCTAGTACTTTTCCTTTAGTGTAGATTCTCACTATTTTAACCTCATATTAGTCCTTTATTTCCAAATATTTATTGAGTACTTTCCTTCAGACACTGTTCTAAACCTGGGAATACAGTAGTGAATAGGACTTAATTTCTGTCATTATGGCACTTAAATTCTAGAACAGGAGGCTGAGAAGAAACACACAGTACATTCTCTGAGAGGGAGAAGTCTCATTAGAATATAAAGCAGGGCAGATGATGACTATAGGAGAGGAGGAGCTAGAGAGGATGGGCAAGGATGGCTTTTTTATGGGAGTGACATTTTAGCAGAGACTTTAGTGTCAATGAACCACTCAGGGAAGGTCATGGGGAACATCTTCGAGGAAGACGTAGTATCTAGTATAAATGCATCAAGGTGGGAGCAAACTTGATATAATCAAGGCCCCTCAAGAAGGCCAGAGTGACTAGTGAGTAGTGATGAGAGGCCCTGGGGCTGGACAAGGGGCCAGAGAAGTAAGCAGAAGCTAGATTGTGTAGGCCATGTAAGGAAGTTGTGTATCAATCTGAATTAGGATGCCATTGGAAGGATTCAAATGAGGGAGGTGATATGCCTTCTCATTGAGTAAAACAATGTCCTCAGAAATGCTCAAATATAGCATCTCAGAATATATGCCTATGGTTTTGGATTGCCATCTTGGGAATAACATTTTTTCCCCAAAAACCCATGTTGTAGAGAAAGAAAGGGAGGATCAAGTACTCCCTTGAGTACTTGAAAGAAAGGGTTCTTTATTTTTTCATCTAACAGAAGCTAAAAGGGCTTCTTCTGAAATTTTTGCTTATAGTTCCAGATTTTAATTTAATTAGTATTGATAATAATCATGGCCATTTTAAGGAAAATTTTGGGATGAATATGACAGTATTGTTGCTTCTTGAGAAGTTCATTTACTACATATTTGTGTTTATCCTACATGCAAGACACTATATTTTAGCCCCGTATTAGGTTAAGCACAGACCTTATGCCATGAATCCTTTTGGCTTAGTTCCATGAAAATGATAGCCCTAATTCATCAAGAGAAGTATATGGTTTGGCAGTTGAGATGGGGTTTTTTGCTAATCTATTTTTTTTTTTTTAAGATTTTATTTATTTATTTGAGAGAGAGAGAATGAGAGACAGAGAGCATGAGAGGGAGGAGGGTCAGAGGGAGAAGCAGACTCCCTGCCGAGCAGGGAGCCCGATGCGGGACTCGATCCTGTGACTCCAGGATCATGACCTGAGCCGAAGGCAGTCGCTTAACCAACTGAGCCACCCAGGCGCCCTGCTAATCTATTTTTAGCACTCTTCTCCTGGTTCCTATGGTGGATAGTGGTGTGCAATGAAATGACTGGCTAGGGGTGGTCTGAGGCCAGGGAACACAGAGAAATGACAGATCACAGAGAGCAAACCAGTGATGTCCCCTTAGAATCATGAATAAAAGGTTCAAACCAACTGTGCAACATAGAAATGAGTTTCTAAATGCCTTGAATACCAATGTCTCAACTAAGATTAAACTATCTGAGTAATGGTAATATCACATTATATTAAACTGTAAAAAAGTTCACATGTGATTCTTAAGCTCTATGATGTTATGGGGAAACCTTTTAAATGTTTGCAGTTCTGGGACTTCAAAGGCTGATGAGACCTTACCTGAACTCTACCAATCAGCTGACTCATGGCTATGACTAGAAAACTTACCTTTCTGGGACTCAGTTTCTCCCATTTGTCAAATAAAGTCATTGGACTGATCTTTAATGTCCCTCTAGCACTAATGTTGGGTGACTTGATGAGTCTAAGAATTGCCTTTTTGGGATAGGCCTGCAAGATAGAAGTGATAGTAAAACTCAGTACCAATTCAACTGAAAATCTTTCATCTTTAGCCTAAGAATTACATAATCGCACAAAGAGAACGTATTTAAGCTTAATAGGAACTCTTGATTCTGAGTGGATCTGCCAGATCCTTTTTTTTTTTTTTTGCCTTTGAGTTATCCCTAATGATTATGTCAAGGACAGGATGATGACACAAAGCCAGTATATAAAGATTTACTCATGTGGGTGGCTAAGGAGAGTGGGATATAACCGAAATCAAATGGATATTTACAAAAACCAGTGAACTGCCTCAAAATGAGATCATTTTTTGGCTTGTTCTACCAATAAGGGTAGTAATGTAATCTTTGGCGTTTCCATTTAGCTTATTGACTATTGATTGTCTGTTTAGCTAATTAAACCCTGATTTACATCTTATGTAAAAAAAAAAAAATCTCAGGACTTCTTACTAGTGTATGTGAATGGATTTGCATCTCCTACTGTTGAGGCACTCAGGCTTCCCTTCACTTCACAAGGGATTGGTCCAGTACACTGCATTTGTCAGTCTTCCAAATACCAGCACGTAAAGCTTGATCTTCTTGACTGTTTATTCTTGCAATTGCCAATTCATTTGAAAGATCAATGAGAACATGAAATGTTTTCTTACTGTATTTTCACTTTTATTGCATCTATAATAAAAGTGCTATTTTAGTAAATAAAGATGGTTCAGTTCATTGCAGAAGTGTCTTTTTTTCATTATCTTCCGGGTAGCACCCAGAGCCAAAGCATAAAGTTATACTATTTAGTGGTTTTCCAGCTTATTGTAAGAATCTGGAAACTACACGTCAGAGTTACCTAAAGAAGTGATTTTTCTGCGTTAAACAGGATAAATACAAAGTCAGTAGCTTTATATGTATGCAGTAGATATCATTTGTTTTTATAGGAAAAATAATTTTTTTCTGATGTTCAGCTTTAGGAAAACTTGACACATAAAAATATTCATACTTGTGAAATGCACTTACCTTCATTTCAAAAGAATAACATGCTCCATTTTAGTATCATATGAGGCATACTTACAAATCATCTAGTAGTAAAGTGATTAAATATGAATTTTTAGCCTCTGATTGAAATGGACATTATTTCTCAAATATTCTGGATAATTCCTTTATAGAACTGAAAGACTAGGGACGCCTGGGTGGCTCAAGCAGTTAAGCTTCTGCCTTCCGCTCAGGTCATGATTCCGGGGTCCTAGGATTGAGCCCCGCATCGGGCTTCTTGCTCAGCAGGGAGTCTCCTTCTCCTTCTCCCCCTCCTCCTGCTTGTGTTCCCTCTCTCTCTCTCTCAAATAAATAAGTAAAATCTGAAAAAAAAAAAAAAAGAACGGAAAGACTACACCTCAACTTGACTCAAAGAAAGGTTATTGCATACTGTTTTATAGCTCTCATAGAATTATATTGTTAATATGAGTGAAGTAGTGGTTCTTTGCATATCTTTCTGAAATTCTTATATTACTTGTGTGAGATTGAAAAATGTGACAACCATACCCAAAGTTATACTTCCAAGTGAATATTGGTTCCTTTAAAATAGTTACCTGGGAAAGCTGTGCAATTAGTCTCAGCAATGTTACTATTGCTGTGGTTCCTTGTTTTGAAACTGCTTTCAGAGCAACTATACCTATCTGGTGAAGTTTACGTGGACTTTAGTTTATCTGTTGATTCATTTGACAGATATTTATCAAATAACTACTGTCTGCTAGTTATGCCCATTTTTAGGTTGACGAAAACTTAAAATCAGTAAACAATGTGGCTCTGTCCGTCTGTTTACAGTCTAATGGTTTCGGTTTTTGGAACTGCTAAAAGCTGGATTTAGTAAAGATGAAGGATGTTAGTGAATACCATTTTAGTGAAAAATATTATGATACAAGGAGATTGGTTTTTCTTTTTTAGTTCATAAAGTGGTTTTTGAAGTGGTATCAAAGAGAATTTTTAAAACAAATAAAATCCAAACCATTTTGAACCGAGTATCTTTGGAATAGGTTGATTTCTTGTCTTAATTTGAAGGATAACATTCATTTAGATAGATGTTAATATTACTATTTTACGTTATTAGTTTTTTATGTGTATTTTGGACCTTATATTCACTGCCTTTTGTTTAGTTAATTTGAAAATTCTAAGACAGAGTCCTGGTTTACATTTGAGAAAACTGTTACACAACGTAGATACCTAAATGTGGTTGACCTGTTTATCTTTAGTTTTGTGTATGTATTTAATTTTACATAAAGTGGAGAGGCATGGCCTACCCTTGACTAGTTTCTTTCAGTTTTTACATGTATGTAATACACTCGGAAATAAAATGGAAATATCTAGTTATGCTTCATCTGGTAGTGTGATATTATGTCATAAGTAAAATTGGACTAAAAACCAATTTGACCTTAGATATCCAATGCACAATGTAAGAAGAAGAGAAGAAAAAAAATATTCTCACAGTGAATGCGCAGAGGAGGAGCCCAATGCAGTGTTCTGGTAGTTTTATTTATAATAATGCAACATATCTGTCTCTACAGGGGGATCCTTGGATGTATATAGAAAAATTCCAGAGCATGTCCTTGGAAGAATTGCAATAGCAGTGAGTATATATGGCTTCAACCTTATGAAATTGGGGTGATTGATCTTTCTAGTCAAATCTGTTCCCCTTATATCCTCATGATGTTGTTTTCTTTTTTTCCAATCCCTGTTGACTGCCAGGGCCTTCTCAACTCTCTTCTTTTGTCATTTTTGCATTTTCTTCTTTTCATAGACCAACCCACAGTAACAACATAGTCACATGACATGCTTCAGGCTTATGGGGCCTGTTACCTGTGACCTATTCTGCTTTCATGTGTTTACAGAGACTGTAGTACACTTGCTAACCAGTAACATTTCCAGGTTCTTCAACAAGAAAGCTGTTTGGGGAATATTTTGTAGTTACAGGCTTATGATTAGAAAATACTGTTCAAGCCAAATTATTAAAATAAAACTATTTATAAGAAAACACTACTTTATTCTTAAAGATTTCTGCAGACTTTTTGTGTGGTTTTTAATTTTTTTACCAGCGATATCTAGGAATTTATTCCCTTTGTGATTAAAAGCAGTTTTCCTGTTTTCTGCATTCATACATAAATTGATGAAATATTTCAACTAGACTAACATTACTATATAAGCTCCAGATTTGAAATTTGGAATAATGCAGGCTAAACAGCGTCTAAGAGAAGTCATGGGGTGGTGTAATAGAAAACAGTTGCTAAACTAAAGGCACTCTGATAACTTAAGCAGTTTAATGCAGAACAAAGCGATTATACCATGTACCATTTAATTAAATGGCTCTTTTTCACATTCATTATACATCAAACTGACAACTCAAATCCTTTAATCCAACATGGACACTTATTTAGTCTTAGTTCATTGTAATTCACAGCTTTCCTTTTTTCTTTCTAATTATTAGTGTGAACTGCCCAGGGTGATGAGAACTTTCTTTTCTGATGCTATTGCTAAGTAGCTTCTAATCTACATGTTTAGGTAGATTAGTTTAGTATGAAATTTGAGTACTTAAATCACTATTTTAGATGAAAATAAAAATGTTTCATTTCCTCTTTTAATCTCAGAGGGGAATGAATGCTTTGTGGCTTTTGGCTTTCTTGGCTCTAAAGTTTAATAACACGTATAATACAGGGCAAAAAAAGGCTAGAATACCAATTGAAAAAGAAAAGTATATGAGTTCTATATACTCAATTATGTGTTGAACTTGGCTAAAATAGGAATCTGCTTCCTTCAGTCAGAGAAGTGTGCTCTTCCTGGACTTCATAAATCTTACCTCCATCTTGTGTAGAGCATCCACACAAAGCCATTGGTCTTTTCAATTCTACTGGAGTGAGAATCCTGCAAAGTGAATGGAGTCAGCAAAAATAATAATAATAATCGGGCTTCAAATACCAAGGTTACCTATTGGTTAATCAAAAATATGACAAAAATTATTTCAGTGAAAGGCACTTAAAATAAGTGCCAGCCCAGAGCATTACTTACATTTGCCCTTACATTTTTTTAAAAATTAGGGTTTCCCCCCCTAAAATGTGTCCAATTTCTTTAGCTTTTATGGCTCATCAGGTCATAGTAATGGAAACTGCCTGTGGCCAGAGTAAAAGAAATGCTTTTGATAATTTTGCTCTTCACCTGCCACTTTTTATAAACTCTGCTGGGGCCTAAGCTTATATAATGCTTCCAAAGCATATTTTTTTAATGTAATTTGATTAGATTACAAACTTGGATAAGTCTTTGTTGCAGCTGACAAACACGAGTGGAAGGATTCCCCCAATCAAAATAAGACTAGCAAATTGATGTTTGTAGGTCATCTCTCCTCTACTGTTCTGAAGACAGATCAACATTGTTCCCTTGAGTTCTCTCCGTGAGGCCGAAAAGCATATGGGTGCTCTTTGCCACGTCAGAAGCAACAGAATCAGAGGAGAGAGGAGAGAAATAGGTGTATATTGACTACCTCGTTGTGCCAATGTTGATGAAGTGTTTTATGTATAAATATTATGTCATTTAATCTTTATAGCAAACTCTGTAGATTGTAGGTTATTGATCATATTTTATACATGTGCAAGATGAGGTTTAGAAAAATTAAAGTTATCTATAACTAATCAGTAAAGATTTGAACCCAGCGCTGTTTTACCCCAAGCCCCATGCTCTTTCACTCTGCTTTCCTAAGAGAATGAGAAAAAAGGAGAGGAAGGCCTGAAAAGGAGAACAAGGTTAAAGAGAAAAAAATAAAGAGAAAAAAAAGAGAAGTATATGAGAAAGGAGTGGAGTGACACATACAGTTGCTTCAGATTCCTTTCATGTCATAGAACGACATCTAGGCATCTCTTCCTCCTCCCAATTAGCTTTATATCCCAGGTTCTAATAACCTGGCATGCTGTTGACGTCCAAAGATTCAAGGTTCGTTACAGGATGGACCCCTGTCAACTTATATGATGTGTTGTTTGAATTTTCTCTCATAGGATATATGGCAAGAGAATATTTTCCCAGGAAAAAAAAGTATTCACATAAACTGGCTGATTTCAGCCTTTCAACTTGCTTAGTGATTTTTATCCACTTTCCATTTGAATGTGGTCTCCTAGAAAGAGGAATGCCTTCCTGCCATTCCCTGCCATGCTTGCACGTTTTGTTTTTCCTCTCATTTCTGAAGCAGTGACACTGTGTGCTGTATTTTGAGTGCTAATGTTGATTGAAGTTGTCGCTGAAAGGATGTGCACTTGACATGTCAAGGAGTGAGTGATTGACAGCAGATACAAGTACATTCAGTGTCAAGGCTTTGTCAGGTCATTGTTGTGAAACCTAGCCTACTGAATACCAATAATACCCTCTAGAGTTTCAATGGACAGATTTCTGTACACTGCTTTTTATATGCTTCTAAAGGAAAACGTAATCTATTTTGACAAAGTTGGAAGAACCGTACATTCTTTTTGAAGCTCTAATAAGATTTGTAATTTTAGTATTACAAAATCAGTATTTGTTTTACTTTTTTTTCTGCCTGATAATCTGAATATATGGATTGCCTTCCCCTTGTGTGTTTTCTGGTTATTCATTTTTCATGGGACCAATTTTTAATGGTGAACCATCTTTAATGGGAAGGTTTTATAATATGCAAGTAAGGTTATAAATTGAGAAGTTTAACCCTAATTTCAGAACTCGGAGGTGATTACTTCCATGCTAAATAAGATGGCCTCATCCTACTACCCAAAGAGAAAATTGTTTTCATTATTGATTTTTAAGGCAATATTTTTGCCTGTTTCCTTCCTCTGTTGGTTATCATTATTACTAGTTTGATTTTTTCTTTTCTTTTCTTTTTGTTTTTTTTACTATCTTACTGTCTAGAGCATATGTGTTTTATTGTAATGCCACTTATTCCAAATCCTAGAAAAAATAATTTGCTATAAAAATGTATTCTCTTCTCTTAAAACATATAAGCTTACTGTGGAAATGATCATACCTTGCTAGCAAATCTTTCAGGAGTACATCCCCCTCTAAGAAAAGAATTAAAATATGTTAATCTCTGCTCAGCATTAATTGATATAGATTTTACCTTCTTCTAAATCTTTAGTATTTGGAAATTGGTTTTCTCTCTTTGCATTTCTCTTTTTAGAATTGCTCTTAGTCTTAATTGATCAACTAAAATCCTTCCAGATTTAGCCCCAACCTTCTTTTCATCATTTTCAAAATAAATATGTAAATCACTTAGTTATTCCTCATAATGGCAGGTTTCCTTGTTTTTATAGTCCTGACTCATCTAAAATTTTCTGTAATGGTGGGTACTTTTAAATTCTGGAAGTAAATTTTGAGTGATAGTGGTTCATTCATTGTATCTGATAAATAATTATGAATAGTCAACCTTGAAATTGGCAAGTTCACAGTCATGTGCATACAGCGTCAGTGGGTATGAATAAAAACATGTGCATCCCCTTTTGCAACCATTTCTATGTAAAGATTGTTAAAGTGTTTAGTGATTCAACTTCTCACATAGAAGGCAGCACTTGTAACCCATGTACTTAGGGTCTTAGAAACATCTTTTTTTCAGAATCTTATTTGACTGATTATTCTTAACACAGGCTGTTCAATCAAAAATCCATTCTAATTCGAATGTTTGTATTTTCTCCCTTTATTTTTTTGACCTGCGCTTTCAGTGTTTTCTACGTGACTCCATACATATGCCTGCATCCACCAGCTTGGCTTGTGAGGCTGCTCATCTTGATATACTTTGATCTTTCCTACCTGAATATCATTTAAAACATTTTTTGGAAATATTTTTTAAAAATTATTTTAAACTTACAGAAAAGTTGAAAGATGCTTCCTCCAGATTCCCCAGTTGTTACCAGTTAACCACATTTGGTATGTGTTTTTTTCCTGAAACATTTGAGAGTACGTCGCAGACATCAATGGCCCTTTACCCCTAAATACTTCAGGTGTATATTTCCTAAGAACAAGGACATTCTCTCACATCATTGCTGTATACTGATCAAAATCAGGAAATTAGCATTGATTGGTACAGTACTGCTATCTAATCAGCAGTCCTAACTTGGATTTTGCCAGTTGTCCAGGAATACCCTTTCTAGACCAAAAGAATAAACATTTCTGGTCCAGCATCCAGTCTAAGATTATACATTGTATTTAGTTGTCATGTCTCTGGTCTCTGTTAACCCAGAGCAGTCTCTCAGCATTTCTTTGTCTTTCCTGACCTTGATCTTTTGAAGAGTATATGGCCCCAGCACTTGGACAGTATATTTTTACCTTGTCCTGAACACCTTCTTCTCTTTCCTTCACATCAGTTGAATCTGTTACTTAGAGCTCAGCACTTTGGTAAAGCCTTCCTGATTATGGGCAGGAAAAGCAATCTCTGTTCCACCCATTGTCTTCATTAGTTAGCTTTTAAAAAATGTCTTTCCTTAGTCACAAATGTCACGACTTAAAAAAAAAAATCCACATACAGAAGTATAAGAAGGGAAAGCCTTTCCTCCCTGCCCACACCACCACTGCGAACTTAGTAGATGTATTTCCAGGTCATGTTACATGCACATACCTTCCTTTTTTTCATTCATCGTGGCTTATCTTCAGAACATTGTAAGCCCATTAAAGGAAGGAGGGCTGTAGTTTACACATTTGGCATCCTCAAAGAGCCTGGCACAGAAATGGGAGATGTGTAATAAACACTTATTGGTTTTCAGAGTTTTAAAGGAAGAATTATGGTTGATAATGATTATATGTTTAAATGTGGAAAATTTCTGATAAAAAATCATCATTGGACTGTTTCTCTTTCTTAAATTTAGGTTGTTAAAGGCCTTACCTATTTGTGGAGTTTAAAGATTTTACATAGAGGTATGTACTGTGCTTACGAGCTCTGAATTAATTTGTGAGGTTGGGTGGGGAGCTCTCCAGATACCTTGCTTTTTAAATAAAATAAATGATCTGATATTTAAGCCAGCTGATATATTTGGTAGTCAAAAAGATGCCTGCTTTATAAATATTTTGCTTATTTTCTCCTTCAGCTGCTCTGATTTAGATTATAGGCATGGTATTTTTGTGGATATTTACCAAACATGTAAAAAGGTATTTCATAGTATTTGAAAATAACAGGATCTGATTTTTAATCCTTAACTCTAATTACTGCAAAGCCTTCACTTTTTATACAATTGCATCCCTTATTAATGCTTCAGATATCACCATACACTGGTCCTTAAAAGATTGCTTCACATACCTTGAAAGTAAAGCTTTAAATAAGGAGTTGGTGAATGCATCAAAAATTAGTCTCCCAGTTCTATTAACAGAACACTGGAGAAGAATAATCAGGTAACTTGAATGTTGTGAAAGGAACCTCCCTTTGAATTTTTCAGTGTTCCCAAAATGCATGAATTCATTTGGAGCAAATTATTAAGTGAGAAACAGACTATAGCAAAGTAACTTCAGGGCCTCCTATTACTAACAGTACTGGTTGATTTTAACACATCTGCTCAGCCCCACTTTATGCACATTTGGGGAATGCAACAACATACACATTGGATGTGATTAAAGGAAAGTTTTTTTTAAAAAAGGTATAAGCTTTGAGAGAGCAAGTAAACAACTGATGCCTTCAACTGTAGTAACACATTGGTCCCTAGGGGTTGTTTTTTGTTGTGTGGTTTTAATATCCTAGTGATTTCAGATTTCTTCTTAAATCCCTTGTCCTCTTTTGAAGAGGAGGTGTAGACTTTGGCAAGTAAAACTTGCAGTTCTTGAAGGTGTTTATGCGGATTAAATGGAATCAGGAACCAAATTTTCCCTTAAAGCCCGTCCAGTCTATTTCTAGAGTATAGTTGGTGCAAAATGTAGACATAGGGGGAGTGAGCTGAGTTGTGTTAGTGTTACTCTTCCTGGGAAGAAGTCATCATGTGAATGCATCTGGTGGGTGAGAAAAGAATGGAGCATTTTCACGACCAAGGTTAAGAGAGAATGGTATTTCTTTTTTTTTTTCTTTTTCTTTCTCTTTTTTTTTTTAGAGAGAGAATGGTATTTAACATAATATGACCTATATTGCTTCTCTTCCCTGTACTCCTACCTCCCCACACTCACCAACCCATGAAGTGGTAATGGCCATTTTAATAGGAGTTAACACAGTGGTCAGTTCTTGTCATTTTAATGATTTTTATGGACATCTGCTATCCTTTTGACAAAGGAACTCAAGGAAGACATCAATTCTCAATAGCAAAACCTTCATTAAAAGGACCTTGCCATGGAAATGCAAATGTTACTATTAAAGTGATCCTTAGGATCATCCTATACTCTGGGCATACACCATACTTCTGGCTTATAGTGAATTCTCCTTAGTCATAACTTTCTGTGAGCAATCTTAGAAGCACTTAAAACCATAGTGGATAGGGAAATACTGTTTAGTTATTCTGCAGTTGTTTTTATTTTTTCTTCTTTGCAATCATTGGTTTTAGTCTTACTCTTCGTTTTGGAGAAAAAATTGAATTTTTCTTTGAAATGGGATCTTGATATACATGTTTCAAGTGGATTTATGCCTGGGATCTAAAAATAAAGTACAAGGTGTACGTCAGATTCCCAGAACAACCATCTGTAATCACTGTGGGCAAGTGTGGTCGACCAGAGCCTCTCAGAGGCAAGTAGGTCCATCCCAGCTCTGGATGCAGCTTAAGCTAAGAAAAGGTTCTTTGGTCAGTTACTGCGGAAGCCTTCACTTTCTATACAATTGCATCCCTTCCTTTTACTAACATTTCAGATATCATGATACACTGTTCCTTAAGAGATTGCTTCACATACCTTGGTGGCCTTAGTGGCTTTTCTGATTGAGGACATAAAGTTTTCAAAAAGGAATCCTGAACTTGTACTTCTCTTCTCAGTCTTTGCTGGCCAGCTGAATTCCTAAAGCATCACCCACTGTAAAATGCTCCTAGTTAAGGGAAGATATCCGTGAGGGGCTGAGTGGGGATAGTGGTAGAACAAACCCTCCCAAGGGATTTGGGTTTTAAATAAATACCAGTGAGTCAATGTGCATCTGCATCTGTCTAGATGGAAAGACTAATGAATTATAGTGCAGGTGAACAATTATTCCCCAGTAATTATGAGTATTTGACTAAAGAAATAATATGCTGTGGTAATACACCTCATTAAATATATTTATATGCTTAGCTTTAGAGTTTCCTGGTTATTCATGGAAACTTTTACCTTCTGGATTTAAAAGCATGTGTTTTTTTGTTTTTTTTTTTTTAAAGATTTTTATTTATTTATTTGACAGAGAGAAACACAGCGAGAGAGGGAACACAAGCAGGGGGAGCAGGAGAGGGGGAAGCAGGCTTCCAGCTGAGCAGGGAGCCCGATGCGGGGCTCGATCCCAGGATCCTGGGATCATGACCTGAGCCGAAGGCAGCCGCTTAACCGACTGAGCCACCCAGGTGCCCCTAAAAGCATGTGTTTTTATTTGAAGAGTGGAAGAAGCCAGGTGTCCCTGAAGACTTTTGTGAAGCATTGTAATGAGAAATTTACTCTAGATTGAGTAGTTGTTAACTTAATATTTTAGAGGTTTTGTCCATATTTAATAACTTGGATTCCATAAAAATAAGATTAAAGATGCCTTTTTATTTACCAAAAAGCTATTTAATTTTCTCCCTGATTAAAAAATTATAGCTTTTTAGATCAGTTCAATCAGGCAATTAAAGATCAGAGCTTCCAAGTTCAGCTAAGGCAATTAAATAGGTAATATACTTGTTTATACACTTTTGCTATATAGGCTTGTTGCTGTACCTTCTTAAAAGCCCATGTACTCATTTTTACTTTCTCTAAATGAACGATGATGGGAATTCTAGCTGAATATGTGTCACATTGTCAAATCAAAGGCAGTGGTCCTTCTGCGGGGGTAGGGGCGGGGTTTGGGGGGGCGCTACAGGTACTGTGAGAACAGAGTAAACGGAAGATGGTGCAGAGAAATGCTCATGAGTGATCTAAGTTTCTTTCTCCTTTGTCTTAGTCTAAGTACCTGTGTTCTTCGATCATCATTTCTTTCCCTACAAATGCTGCCCCTAGAGCCAGGGTCTTGTACTTATGAACACAAATTTTAAAAGATGAAGAAACGGAGATGCGTTCAGTTACCTAATGAGAAGAGAAAAATACTATTTCTCACATTTAAATGGCTTCCTTGGAATACTGTGGTCCTGGATTTTTAGCCGTAAAACATAAATGCATAAATAGTATCTTTTGGAATTTATAAAACACAGTTAATGACTTCCAGACAAGCTGGTAAAAATTAAGAGTCTTTCCTGCAGCGCATATTCAGTGAGGACCGTAGAGTGGAACGAACTCTGAGCAGCGCAGTGAGACCACCCATCCCACGAGGCTTGTTAGTCTGGCACAGGTTTGTTCCTTTGATATGTATTATGTCCACTGGACATTTTTTTTATGAATTAAAGTATAACAGTTGCTGTTCATAATGGATTATCAAATATTATATTCAGTAAGGTTTTTAAAATTTTATTTTTTTAAGATTTTATTAGAGAGAGAGAGCATGAGGGGGGCAGAGGAAGAGAGAGAAGGACAAGCAGACTTCCTGCTGAGTGGGGAGCCCAGTGTGGGACTCAGTCCCAGGACCCTGAGATCATGACCTGAGCCAAAGGCAGACACTTAACCAGCTGAACCAGACAGGTGCCCCATCAATAAGGTTTTACTGTTGTTTATTTTGTTCTTGTAAAGATTTGGTTGAGATATATATGCAAGTACTTCATTAACTAACAAATGCTAATAATGAGCACAAGTTTTTATTATATAATAACTATGCATTAATCACTTTATCCAGTTTAAGCACATATCACTTCCAGATTAAGCCAGGAAGAGAGTTTATTATTCTTTGCATTACCGGGTCAAAAATTATGAAAACCTTTTCTCTAAGATAGACATGTGGTATCACATGAGGACATAATTATTAAAAATGTTTGAAAGTTCCACCAGGATTAACTACTGTGGAAAATTGTCTTTATTAAATAGCACATGTGTGAGCCCTGTAAGCATAGCATGTACTGACTGGGTAAAAACAAAGAAAATGAACAGTGAAAAAGTCTGGCAGACCAGATTTGACATTACAGCAAACATTGCAGCTTAACTTCAAAACATACATCGCCACTAATGAGGTGAGAGCCCTGCATATTAATAAACCTGCAGCTCCAGCCATAGCCATTATTACCCACATCAAACATAAATACAAGATTAACACCTGTGTCATTTCTTTGGAAGATGTGAGAATGCCCTGGCAGTAACTGCTCTCTCTTTCCCTGAGGATAAAAAATAGAAATGGAAGGGTAATGAGAATAGAGCTTAGATTAAGAAAATAAAATTGGCAATCCGGCTTGGGCAATCTTACACAGATGGAGAAGTTTATAGAAAGAAAAAAACCTAGATAGTTGTTGTCCCAAGACATTTTTTGTATATATGAACCTGGTTCGTTTCATCTGCTTTCTCTGATAGGAGAGTTTTTTAATGTTTTTGTATTATAGATAAATATATTTTTTAAATTTTTAAAAATACTTTATGTATTTATTTGAGAGAGAGAGCACACGTGACACGTGCCAGGGGAAGGGCAGAGGGAGAAGGATTGAATCTCACGTAGAGTCTGCACTGAGCGCAGAGCCTGACACCGGGCTTGATCTCAGACCCCGAGTTTATGACCTGAGCCGAAACCAAGAGTCAGGTGCTTAACCGACTGAGCCACCCAGGCGCCCCTATATATTTTTTATGTTATTCTGAAGGCAAATGCTATGCAAATAGATTTGTGTTTAGAGAAACTAAGTCTTGTGGTTTCAACATGTTATCTTCTGCCCCTAGCTTTACTTATT